TAACAAAATACAAGATTTGTTGAATGATTCTTCATATACATACAAGATTATAATGAATCTATTGGTTTGAAGCATTCAGTAACATATCCTTATACATCTGAACAGTTTGGAGGCAGAATGGAGCTGCTGAAAGGGAAAATAAAATTTTGTAAAAATGGCAGTGTTCAAGTTTCAATTCTACTCCATACATTCTAAAATCATTGTGGGAAAAATCTATTAAGACTGCAACTTATATGTTAAATAGATTTGCTCCAAAGAAGCTTCAAAACAAATATTTTTACAAAAGAATTGAAAAATTAATTATTTTTGGTACAGAATTCTTCACAATTTTTCACAAGAGGAATAAATTTGATGGTAAATCTATGAGAAAATATATGGTTGGGTGAAAACTATATTTACTCTCTAGAGGAGAGAGCTGTATATGTATGTAAAGATATTCAATGATAAAAAGTGACAACAAGAAATAAAAAAGAAAATGAATTCGTACAGAAAGTTTAGATTGTAATAGAGAAGATGAAAATGAACAAAGAAATATTGATGATGATGATGTGGAAATTTGTGATGAAAGAAGAAAATTAAATTGCTGATGAACAGATTGAAGATGACAATTTTGAAAATGCAAGAAATGTTGTTAAAGATGTTCCATAGGATCCAAGACAGGTTTTGCATAAGACTAATAATAAGAATAAAAGACATATTTTACGTGATTGTAAGAAAGTACAAGCACCATCGCATGTTGGTAATGATTCGAAGAATATACCAAGGATCATACTACTACAAAATATACCAACAAATTATCAAGAAGCTCTACAATCTGAAGATGCAGAGAAATGAAAAGTAGTTGTGGATGAAGTATTAAACTTCATTGAAGAAGAATGAAACTTGAAATTGGTAGATTTGCCAAATAATGTCAGATAGAGTAGATAGGTGAATAATACAAAACTTGGTTCAAATAAAGAAGTGATTTGTCTTAAAGCACAATTTGTTGCATAGGTATATAGTCACAAAGTCCAAATCCTTCAGCCCTGTAGTAAGATTTAAGACAGTAAGGGAACTTTTGAGTTAAACAGTTCAAAATGGTTGGCATGCAAACAGTTTAATTTAAAAACTACTTTTCTCAATGGTGAATTACAAGAAGAAATATAAATGAAACATCCAGAAGGATATGAAGATTGTTGAGGAAAAGTGTGTAAAATATTAAAGAGCTTGTGTGGTTTAAAACAGTCATCTAAAAGTTGGTATGAATGTCAGGCAATGCAGATCATTGGATGGATGTAAATGATAAAATAATTTTATTGTTTAATGTAGATGATGGATTAATTTTTGGTTTTGATGAGTTCTTAAAGATGTGTATACAGAAGTTATCAAATCATTTTGAGATAACTATAGATTGTTCATATCTTGGATTACGAATTAATGATTGCGTTTATGTAAATCAAACTGCATATGCAACAAGAATTTTGGAAAAGTATGGAATGTTAGATGGAAAACCATTATCTCTGGCAACCGAACCAGGAAACCCGGAGAATCACTTTCATTTAATAATGTTAAATTATATTGAGACTGTTGAGGTCTAATTTATTTGACTTTAGGAACAAGACCTCATTTATTGCATCATGTAAATGTTGCTTCAAGATCTCAGAATTCTCCAGCACAAGCCCATTTTGCATTATTGAAAAGTTATTGATATCTTAAGTAACTTTGAATGAGATATTCAATTTTTTTAAAAATTTAATTCTTGAAGATGCTGATCATGCAGGAGATAAACGTACTCAAAAATCTGTGACGAATTTTGTTGAAGGTGAATGGAAGTCCAATTGTTTGGAACAGAAAACTAAAATGATGTGTTGCACTTTCTTCAACAAAAACTGAATATATTGCTGCAAGTGAAGCTTCAAGATCATTAGATTGGCTAGATCAAACAAATTGGATAAAACAAACATATTGAAACAAATTGGAGCTCTGGACAAAAATTAAATTTCAATTCTCAGATTGATAGTCAGAGTGCAATTAAATACATTAGTAGAATTAGCTTTTATCAAACGTCAAAACATAGGAACCAGATATAATGATGGTTGAGAACTAGTAAACGAAAAGATGATTGACATCAAATAAGTATCAACGGATCAACAAAGAGTCAGCAATAAGACAACTTTATAAAGAAACTTATTAGAATTGTATCAACCCTTTAAATATTATTAAAATTGTATAATATCGGGGGCAGTATTGAAGAATCAATTGAAGAGTCGATTACTTTTGCATGTATTTAGATAGATTCATTTGTTTTATGTCAGAGTATTTACAAAATTGTTCTTGATGTTAATACATATTAATTTTTATAATTATTTGGTTTATTATTCTGACATTATTTAAGTACCAGCCTGTGGCAATGTTGCTGACAAAAATCAGTGAATAAGGATTAAGATAGATGTGGTAACATCAATGGAATGATTGGAGTAAAGCAAGACTGCCTTTTTACTGATTCCAAATAGCCAAATATCTCTGAAAATAATAATTTTTTCATGGAAATAATAGTTATCAGTTGTCAAACTGAAAGCATATTTGGGTATTCTAACAGTCTGGTGGTTGTGAGCGAAGTGCAATATCCATCCGAGTCTTTACAGACTAATTCTGATGGTTTATTTTAACTAACTTCAGAACTTCAGCTAATTATTTATTTTATTCTGACCCAGGTTGGGCAGCTATTTGAGATGGTTTACAATTTTAACCATTTAATTTGACTATTTATATTGCCCGGTTAATATTACATTTATTACAATATTAATTAACTTTGCTATTTCAAACATTACATTGACTGAACAAACCTGGGTTCAACAAATAATACTTAACCTTCTTATTTTACTATTATATGTCTCTGCAACTCTACAGAGTTGCAATTCCTGAAAGTTCTGCTGTATTACCCTAATATTAAAAATTTGATGGCAACTTTTACAAATTATCAGTCTTTTTACTTTGTTTGATAATAAAGAGTTAATATTTATTCTACAGATTTAAATTTTTTGGTCTTGAGCTCATTCATGATTTGAACTATCTTAATTTGTACATTCACAAATTCCATAAGATATTTCTTGTATAATTATTCATAAGCTTACGGAAATATCTTCTACTAAAACTAAAACTATCTTACTTTAATACGCTGGTCTTCAAGATGTCTCCCATCCGGATGCCTTTGGTGGGATGTCCTGTGGTGCTCCTGCTATCGTCGTAAGTTCTGGCAGCGGGAGAATTTTTGTAATGTTTCCCGAAAATGATATTTTGAGAATAATATTCTATCATCCGATCTATTCAATTAATGCAGTCCGCGAACGCAACTTTCCCATCCTGAGCCTCGGATGAAATGCCAATTCGCGACTGCCTGTCATTTTACATAACTTATAACAATATGTCCAGTTAGTCCAGTTATGAGTCTATTCTACACTAATTCCCCATGTATGAAGTCTATTTTACATGAATCTCCAAAATCACAAATTACAGCACATGTTAAAAATGATTCCTTCAAATTACAAATGACAATACTACACATAAACAAATCACACAATTACGTAAGTTTCCCAGTTTATAACATTAAAATGTTACTCAGCCTAAGTCTGCAAAATGAGTACCGTTCACTTCAGTTGCTGCCAAGAGAGAGACTAATCCATCCTAAATAATTGTGGAACCTTGATTTCCAACGCCGTCTTGTCATTTATTTAAATTAATGACCCGAGGCCGTGCTTTGCACAAGAATATAGCGTTCAGACTGTCAAGCATGGAACACAAAATTTATTGACACGTTGTCCTGACAAAGTGTATTCGTTGGTCTAGACTATTTTTATGCATCCAGTTCTAAAGTAGTTCTATGCATATTTCCTTTTATTAAATGCCTTGCGGGGATTTCTGGTATGTCACATGATATAGGATGTGTAACATTCAATATTTTTTGTTATTTCAAGTTATTCAAAATAAGCATTTAACACTTTCATGAGTTAAGAATTGTCATTACTCTTGATGGACTAAATTGGAAAAGGGGAGAAAAGGAACAAAATGGGGAAAGGGGGACGAGTTAGACAATGGGGACAAATGGGATAACAAAGGACAATGGGACAGAGGAGCAGCATAACATAGGGAGAACAAAATGAGGCAAGGCAACAAAATCCGGACATGAGGCAAATGGGACAAGATGGACCTCGGGAGAAATTGGCACAAGGAGACCAAATTTTGCCAGCGGGGCAAATGGGACTTACAGGAGAAAATGGGACATGGGACAAGTGGGATGCTTATCCAAATATTTATAAGTACTGTTAAAATCTAAGCCCTAAATTGCTTTTAATGAACTTTCGAACAGCCATTATAACAGCCATTGCTATGGACGCACTCTTAAAGCATTTTAGATTGTTGCATGCTTCTTAGCTAAGCACATGTTTACTGATGTATAGAAAAAAAATTTTTTTTACACACTCATTGCTCTTATGCTTCCAACAAATACTTATTTATAATATTCTGTTATTTACTTTCCTCAATTTAGGGTAAAAATCATTTCTGTGTATAAACACATACACACAAGTATTGTAGAGTAATTTATATCTATTTTATCTGTGTTACATGGTACATTTTGTTTGCTGTAAAATAATTGAAAGTTTCATTTTAGTCTCAATGTTAATTTTGAATGGTGGTTTAAATTATCTTTGTAAAATATATTAAGGTAGAATATTTGTATAATGTAGTAATAAAATCTACTAACCTAATCTAAAACCCATAATTTTCATTAGTATGATACCTAGTTTATTTAATCCAGTTTATATTCTAAATTAGCACCCGTTGTCTTCAATTAAAATTTCCATATTTATAAGATGCTACTTATTGTTCATTACCAATTTCTTATTATGTTGAAGCTATACAATATTCTATCCAATTCATTCATGAAAAATAAAAATTATAGTTTATTTGAACTAAAAATTAATTGTATAATTTAAACTTTTCCTTATGTGTTGTTTTGCTAGGCTACACAACAAGGGAGTGTATGTAAAAATGGGATTACGGAAAATGGTAGGCCGCAAAATGTGCAAGGATCTGCACAAAGAAATACGTTTGGAGGTTGATGGTAAACTTGTGGAGCTTCCTCAGGTTGAAGGAATTATTATTCTCAACATTTTAAGGTAAGAGTGCTTATATAATGTATGTAATTTAATGTTTCAATATTAGACTCAAAATTTTGATAATTTCTCTTTAATCAGAATGTTTGTAGTAGTTTTATTTTGCCTATATTTCTGTAACTTTTATTGTATTTATTTCTACTGAGGATTTATTGTATTATTTTCCACCTTCAAAACATTGAAAAGTAGTTAAGTTTAAGTTAAAAATAAGTTTTTGTTGATATTGGATAATTGAATTAATTGGCATCATTTCTAAATACAATTTTATCCTTAATTGCTACATTTGAGCAATTGTATGAACATCATATATTATACTAAACATCACATATCGTACCTGAACATCATATATCTGACAAGATAATCTTGTTAATATTCATGCACGTACAAAAAAAATAATTAGTAACATCACAACTTAAATCTATAACAAATATAGCTTTTTAGTAAAACAAAAAAGTATTAAATAAATAAACAAATGTAATGTCATGTTGCATACACATTATTTCATTTCTTTCATAATTAATTTGTATAATTTAATTATTATACTTTTTGAAACTCATCATTATATAATCTATTTTATAATTTACTCTAATTCAATTTTGTTTTTCTACAAGAAGACCTAAAATTTAAAAGATTTTCTTTTTCCTGTGTGAACATTCTTTATCTTCTTCCTAAACGTCTATATTGCTTAAATATTCCATTTGATGAATAATTTTTAATTTGAATCTCATGGCCTCTATCATACCTTTTCTTTCTCTTTAGTATCTCATCTTATTCTTTAAACCAATCTAGTTCCATTCAAAAACATAATTTATTACAAGTGGTTTTGACGTAGGACCAGGGTTTTTTTTTTTTTTTTTTTTTTTTTTTTTTCTTTCCAATGTGTTTGACATAAAACTCTGAATGCTTTATCTAAGGAAAGGAGAAGATGGGATGGGTGGCTTTTAGGAAGAGTTAGGATGATTAAATATTTAATTTGTGTTTGCGAATTAATAATTGTATTTCACACGACAGTATTTCAAGAGTTTTCATGAGATCATCATTTTTGGAGTACTCTGGGAGAACCCAGGGCATAGTAAGAAATGTCCATTTTATATCACTTCTAATTTCTTTATGCAAGTGGCACTTATGTCACCTCTTAACCACATTTATAAAAAAGCTTAGATCTTAAAATTGTCATTTATTGCTATCTAGGCATAGTAGCTTCTCTTCCCCAACTTGGACATAATCCAGCTTTTAAGATATTGAAACTCTCAAGGTCTTTTTTGTTGAAGTTTTGATTCAAGGCTTGCATAAATTTTTTAAACTTTCTCAATACTACCACAGAGGAAAGATTATATAGCTCTCTTTCTTCCATGCTACTTTGTAGTATTAACAAAGTATTGTAATGCTGGAGGAAAAAGTGCTAATATTTCTAGTTTCTTGGGTTCTTGATACCAAAAGAGTGGATTTTTCTTGCTCCTATACACAATAAATTACATTCTTGAATAAATAGTGTAGACGACATCCACATTTTTCAGGTCCTTGATATTGAATAATTGGTTTATGGCCTGTCCATCTGTCTTTGAAAAATACTTGCACATAAACTAGATATAGAATTTTCACCTAAATTGATATTCCCCAATCAATCTACCTGATCTCAAGGCTCTATAAATTTGAAATGGATATTTTAATTTGTATTGCTACTTTACATAAAGATGATAGATTTTCAAAATTTTCTCAAAAATGACTCCAAATGTTTTCTTGAATAGACACCATTAATAAAAATGTTGCAAATTCATTTCATTGAAAAGTTTGAAAAGTTCATTGAATTTTTTGAAAATTCTATTTTTTGTTTAATTTTGGCTGAAATTGGGACTAATAAAAAAAAATGCAGAAAATGTTCTTGAAAACTGGCTTCAAATATTTTTCCTTTACTGTTTTTGCCCAATTAATATAAAGTACTCTCAATAATGTACCTCATTATCTCATACTCATACTTCATACTAAAATCTATTTTCATCAAAATTTATGAAATTTCTATTATGATCAGATTATCATGATTATGATCAGGTTCAATTTTTTCAGTCTTTTAACATCTTTAATATTCAAGCTAGATATTTCTTTTTTTAAAGTATTAGTTTTCATGCAATTTCAAGTTGAAATGTGAAGGGACACAATGACATTATGTATATATTGTAACTCAATAAACAACAGGGTTATATGTATAATGCAACGATGGCTGAGAGGTAATGCAAGTGATTCTCAGATTATAATTCCAGTGTAAGTAAATATTTTTGATTTTTAATTTTAAGTTTTTGTAACAATAGAGTACAAAACACTCAATTGAATGGCAGAAAGTCATTTTCTGAAAACCTTTGAAAATGCAAAAACATTTTAATGAGGTGTTTTTCTTTTTCTCTGGAATTCTGTTTGGTTAGAGTTTTTCAAGTTCCAATTATAATATTACAAAACTATTATCATTAACTTGAAAAAGTATGAGCTGTTCTAGTTTTCTTAAGTACCATACATTCCTAATATTCTTTGGTTCGGATTATAATTAAGTACATCATCTGTCAATATTATTTGAGGTTTATGTGCTTCAAAATAATACTTTCTTTTAAAGAGTTTGCATTTGGGTATAAAACATTTATACCTTATTTTAGGACCCAGTGGTTAGGGATAACAGATCTTATTTATTTATTATTTGTAATATTTATTTTCATGTGTAACTGAATAGTTGAACTGCCAATACTTCCATTTGAGACTTTTGCTCGCACAAGTATTCTTGATACTTGATTTAAGATTCCTAGTTCTTGTTCAGCACTGAATAATATGTCCCATTGAGATTCTTAGGTCTTATTCAGAGGTGCAGGTACAAATTTACAATTCTGTCAACATTCCCCTCATTCCTTCAAAATTATTGCAGTATTTGTCATGCTTTATCACGATAAGTTCATACCAACAGCCACTACACCCCTTTAAGCATGGCTAGAGATTCTCCCCATGCACCCCATTGTGAAAAATCAAGAAAACTTGCACATATAGTACTTTTCAAATTATGTGCAATCCAAGAAAAATTTGCAAAAAACAAGATCCCCCCCATCTTTCTTTCTTCATGGGACATTCCCATTTCTTCTCCCTTTCTTCCCTCTCCTTGAATCATAGCACTATTACCATTCCCTCAATTCAAACTTGTCACTTCTGACTTAATATATATTAATTATAATGATTCAATATCCATCTGAATGTTGTTCATTAGTATAGATGGCATAGACATGCTCATGGGAGGAAATTAGCCTCTATTGCATAATTGCCACCAGCTTAATTCAATTATGAATATAGAGCATGTTTAGTGTTATTTTGAAAGTCATTTTCCCAAAATTTCAGGTCAACAGCCTGATTATTTTGCTACATATAAGAAAAAATACGAATTTTCGGTTTTTAATTTTTTTATGTCATTCTCGGATATAAAATTCTGAAAACATTTTGAGGTATAGTTGACAGCTATACATATCTTGGAGAATTAAAAAGTGAAATTGGTGGAAAATTCTTTTCTTTTTAAATTATTACTTGTTACTTTTCTGTGTTATTTCTGAGGTGGCATCTCCAAACAGTCCGTGAAATTGGTATTAAGAGGGGTTTCTTTACTACTGATTTTTTCAGATTTTTTTTAGTATGCCATATTGAAAAAATCAATAACTCTTTTCTTCATCATTGTTATGTATATAAATCATAATAAGTTAATCACATTTCTACGGAAAAATAATTTCCAGGACGAAAATCGTACTATTAGTACCGACAGCCAATTAAATACTGACTCCGGCCACGGAAGCCTACGCTCTTCCTCGTCTGCTGTCTCGACATGCCTAGCACGACTGTTGGGGATAGTTGTTTTAAGTCAGTGAAAAACTACTGATACACGTTTAATATATAATTTTATATTACAATATAATTCATTTTCACTTTTTAGACTATGTTTGTTTTTTTTCTTTTCTTCTTAAGGGTACTTTTTTTAGTTTTTCTTTCTTGTAATATGGATACAGTGAACAATGTTTTGAACAACACAAATTGCTCATCTACAACTAATAGTCCATAATATTCTTGCATTGATTTAACCGCCCTTTCAGTGCAGTTATTCGCAGCTTTCAACTTTTTAACAATCCTATGGGCTTCTAAATATGAAGAGTTGCTTGTCCAGATGAAAGGACATTCTTGAATAAAACTAGTACCCATCTTTAGGCAAGAAAACTGATATCTGCTTTTGGTTGACACAAAGTCGGAGATTTTCACTGAAGTGAAAATTAAACTGAATTTGGAGATTATTGGATATTACGAATTAATAATATTTAATAATAATTTATCATTATATAATGATCATCGGGATACAATTGCGCTTACCATATTGTTCTCCATCCAATTCTCCACAACAATGAATATATCTTTTCCATGTGTAGATTCTCTCTGGTTAAATTTGCTACCTTTTTAGTTTTGATTTGTACTTATCATCATCAAAGAGAAATAAGACACAATCCTTCTGATAAATACCACATACTGTGTCTAAATTTCTTTAGAGCTGCTTTTGAAATTGTGAAATCTATTCTCTCATGTGAATTACGAATTTTTTAAAAGCAGATATCTTGATAAGGGGCTTTTACAGCTGCACTGCATGGAAACCACAGTTTGTTAAATCAACAGAGACATTTTTTTAAGGAATTCTTAATTAACTGGATAGTTTACGATCTGACCTTAGCTGAAATATTTTTAAACTTTAAATAGCTTTGGCTATCCTTTCAGCTCAATCACTGCTCCAGGAGGATGTATCTTTTGTTTGATACTTTCATGGTAGTCCAACAATTCTTTAATTTCGGACTCATTAGAGAACATTTTCACATTATCTTTGCCACTTAAAAAATTATTGGCATAAACACTTTCCTAGCTTTATTTAAAATGTTTAAAAAGTGGTGCCAGGATTGCTTGCTGTAACATGTATTTTACATTCAAACACATTGTAAAATAAGTTGGTATATGTGATGTCGGCAAGGAAAGAACAAGTCTCTGTTCAAATTTTCTTCAAGGAAGACACATGCTCCCTTAAAACATCCAGAGTTTGATGCAGTTGTGCCAAAACAAGAATTTGAAATTTTTTTTTCGATAACCCAGTGCGTTAACACATTACAAACAGCGCTAATTTGCTCTTTACCAGAAGAAGTCCACAACTTTGAAAACCCGATTAGATGCTGACTGTCCCCAAATGTAACAACAATTGGAAGTCTTTCTTCTTTTGGCTCCCTGCTTTTTAATGCTGGCAACAGTTTACCACCCAACAGTAAGAATTTCAGATATAATACCCTTAAAAGCAGGTTTAATAGTTTCTTAGCGTTCTCTCTCCTCTTGTGTCTGATTTGAAGAACAGAAGTATTCTAACTGTGCCTCCCAGGGGTGTCGCAGTGATTATTAAAAATGATATTTAGATTTGATTTACTTTAATGCTTGTCATTTATGTCTACAAAATAACTTTGTACTATCATACTATATGCTATTTGTAATGTATATGAATTTCCTAATTGTGTTGATTAATTGAACCTGGCAAGCCCTTTACCAATAGCCTATTGTATCACTTACCCATTTGTGTTGAATCTTTAGTAGACTCATATTAACCCTCATGTTTGAAACATTGCCATCAGGAGAGCCGCTGGAATTTTCGTGTAGGTCAGGAGAGCCGTGGATGGAAAAAGTTTGAAAACTCCTGGAATATTAGATTTATTAATAGTGAATTTTTCAAGGTATTGTGGCCAAGTACCTTTTCTATCGCCTGAAGGATGTATACAGAATCTCTTACACTCAGCTGGTATCTATCTAAAGCAGCCATTAGATTAGGAGTAATGAAATTGTTGGAGCCATGCCTTGCAGCATTCTGTATTAACGTTCTCTCAGAAGCCTCTCCTAAACATTCACCAACATCGTTTTCATCTGAACTTGGAAGTTCGTTATCTGAATCTTCAGACGATGAAAGGGGTAGAGCAGATGCAGACGCTTCACACTGATGTTTCTCTTTCCTTTTGCTTCTTGTAATATTCTTTGTCTGGACCTTTCTTCTTTATCTATGTTTTTTTCTACCCCTGCAAGATTGCATGTTCACATTTTGTTTGTAATTTTCTCCACTCCGAAGACAAGTTAATAAGTTTTTACAAACAATATTGATTAGCTCTTGTCGAAATTCTTGCTTTCTCCCAAAATATTACGTGCTCATGAACCACAAGTTTAGCACTTGTTAATTTTACTTCCCATATGTGATAAAATAAAACTTCAAGAACTTTTTTATATAAATTGTGTTCAGTTATTTGGTGTTTTATATTAACAATTAATATTATCTTCAATTAAAAATGCATGTCCTCCAGCACTGTATATGACACTAATACACTATATACACTATTATGTTAGATTTAAGATGTTTTATTTATGTACTTGTAAAATACGTCATGTATAAAAAAAAAGTTTAATCAAAAAAAGAAACCAGGAAAGTAGTTCTCTCCCCCTTGTTTTTGGGTGCACATTCCTATGTACTTTCAAGAGATTACCTGTTTATTCATTTCTTTTCTTTTCATTTTTTCTCTGATGTTAGGAGCATTTGACTTCCCTGTAATTATCTTTATAACACAAGCATAAACAGTGAAAAGTTAAATTGTGATTAATGACGTGAAATTAGTGTTATTAATTATTATATATATTATTAATTAGAAAAGTGAAATTATTGTTTAATGACTACTCATTATTCTACTTCAAATAAATCTGTTCTGTTTAAATCATAGAGAAACCTGTCATTTAATAATAGCTTAGGAGCATAAATAATTATGATGTTTTAAATGACATAAATAATTATGATGTTTGAAATGAAAAATTTATCCTAATTTTCTTACTTTTCTTCATGCTGATATTTCCTTCATGCTGAAACACATAATATTAAGTATTTTGTGTTTCTCAGTTGGGGATCTGGGGCAAACCCGTGGGGACCTGAGAAGGAGGACCACTTCACCAAACCAAACCACTGGGATGGAATGTTGGAGGTGGTGGGCGTCACTGGTGTTGTACACCTTGGTCAGATTCAATCTGGTCTACGCTCAGCAATGAGAATTGCCCAAGTAAGTTATAATGAGACATACTACAGTCTGTATGTGAATAAATACATCCTTTGAACAACTGGAATGAATATTTACTATTGGAATGACATACACAGTTAATAAAAGCATTTTTTTAATAAAATATTTCAAAAATTTTTATTAAAAGGGGATAAAAGTTATATTTTGAAAGTATGTGAATGTTCTAATAGTTGGAAAAACTGTATAGTATACCTGAAATTTTGAAAACAGTATGATAACCATTAATTTAAAGAAAAAAAATATTATAAATTTGAAAATATGTTTGCATTGCATTTTACTTTCAATGGCTGGTGCATATTAATATTGAAAACATTAAACGTAAAAGATTTGTAATATTATAATCAAAGACAAATTTTGAACTAGTTTATTACCTGGACAGTTGTATAAATTGCTTAATAATGTGACAAAAAGTAAATGCAAAACCTATGATTTGAATATTCAAAATAAAAATGCCATTGAATGTAATTTACAAACTTGTTGTCTTGAGAGATTTTATTCTTTTTTATTTTTAGGGTGGGCATATAAAAATCCACCTCAACTCAGATGTCCCTGTGCAAGTGGATGGTGAACCCTGGGTTCAAAGCCCTGGGGACGTTGTTGTGCTGAAGTCAGCCTTGAAGGTAATTTTTTTGCTTATTATGCAAAGGTAGTGAGGGTTATTTTCTAAATGCAGTTCTTACATGTCTAGTTCATTTATATTTTTATTTACATAATAATTCATTAAAGTGAGTCTCTTCGCATGAATGAATAGCAGAGGATGTGTTCTATAGGATAGATGATGACTTGCCAGTACTCGCCTTGAATGAGTCGTAACAATTTTGTGTTCTGACATTGGCATATTTTTCATTTGCCCTGTTGCTTCTTCGTGGTTTCTTTCTTTTATTTTTTGTGTTTTGTTCCTCTATTTGGCATTTCAGTGTGCAGGAATGAAATGTGACATGAAATGTAGCTTGGAAATTTCATAGCAAATCTGCCTTTATTTTGTTTTTATTAATCATTTTAACATTGTAGAAGTTTGTACCTTTTCTGATCTTCAAAAACTACTTCCTCCCTTTCTCTCCAATGTATGTTAAAGAATTATAAAAACATGTCAACATTTAATGTGAGGAAATTATATGAAAATCCTTTTCTACCTTCAATTTAACTTTCAAAATAGTTTTGTAGTGGGGTTTTCATATTCAAACATTGTCCAGAAGTAAAATAATTTTTTATTGTCTCTTTCAGTAAGAGGTTCTCGGGACACATTTCATTAAAACACCCTTATGTGACAAAAATAAACTAATTTAATTATAACAAAACTGGATAAAAAAAAACTATTTGAAACTTCTGCTCTTCTCAGCACAGTCCTCTAATATCCATTCATGTGAATACAAATTACTGTAACCTCTTTTAACTAAGTTGAACCTCACCTCTTCTAATAGTGAATCGTCATGCCTTAATCTGACCTAACTAGAGTCAAGTGCATTCCACCCACTCCTTTAACTAATATCTGACCCATTCCTCTTGGCTACAGGCGACAATGCTGAAGAAAAATAAGATCAAGCGGCGAAACACTGAACCCTCGATTCTGCCGGCAGATGGGGAGGGGGGCAAGAGCAGTGATGACTAGAAACCCTCTCTCTCCTCTTCCTCACGGATCTCTATCTGGTGCATATTGGGAGTTGGGTGCTTCCTTCCTGTTCCACTTTAGTGTGCTAGTCTGCCCGTAAGGGCCTTCGTGCATGAGTGATACGTGTGTGTTTGGATGTGTGTATATATGAATAATTTTCAGCACCCATGAAACATTTGTGTCTTTGCTACAAACCATTAATATTTCCATTCATTCCATTCAAATGGTTTCCTATATACCTTCCTTTGCTTGTGGAACTGCAGCTTTTCTTCCTATTAATGCAGTCTGTAATTTCCTCACAATTGTGTGTATGCATGGGTCCACTTTTTTAAGTATTGACAACAAATTCTTGTCTTTCCTTTGCACTGTTTTTTTTTCTTTCTCCTGTCCTTTCCCCCTGCGTGCCCCCCTCGTAGGCCACGATGTTGAAGAAGATGAAGGGCAAGATGAAACGCCGCAACACGGAGCCGCTGATGGTGGTGTCCCCGGGCTCACAATTGACGGCGCCAGCGGACTTGTCAGCCAACCACAACAACTCAGCGTTCTGAAGGTGCCAGTGGTCCTGCCTCTCTTTAACATCCCTGCAGAACATCCGAACAAGTGGCACAGCATAGAGGACAAGGACAAGAAGAAAAGAGGATGTGAGGAAAAGTGCTAAAGAAAATTAATTGGGAATAGCCCTAAAAAATTTCTATGAGAAGCAGAGTTATTTATATAATCATGGAATGCATGGTTATAAAAAAAATATGAACTAGAACCAGTTTTTGCTGGTTCTCTATCATTGTTACTTAGCAAAGAAAGTATTTTGTTATTATTTATTTTTCCTGTGTGTTTGCCAGTAACAAGTAGATCTCATTCCCCTGTTGTGTGAGGTGAGTGATACTCTGGGGCTTGTTTGGAACCACAAGGACGTTCCATGCCCTGGTGTTGAAAAGTAAGTGAGGTGATAAAGCCCCTGTAGTCTTATTTATGTGTCTGTTGATTCATTCGTTATTAAAAACTGCAGAAAAACTGGGCATGGGTTTACACAAGATTCTTGTGTGCGGCTGCATGTACGCTTAATTTTGCATTTATGTTACTAGTAATGTATATTGTAATGGTAATATTACTTTGAGTATGGTATTTTACCAATGGACAAGGACTAATCTAAAAATGTTTGCACTGTTGTTCTTTGTGATCTGTATAGAAAACACAAATGAGCATTGGAAACAGTTGTTGACAATGTATTATTATAATGTATAGATCTGTTTTGTTGTCGGTCATAGCATTGTTGTAGATCTGAAGTTCAGATCGTGTGTTAAGATGAGATCAATATAAACTATCATCAATAGGAATTGTACCTAAACTAGATTTTCATATACTTTTGAAGCATTTAACCATGTATCGTAGCATGGAATTATCTAGTCACCAGTTTCTGCCTGGTATGTGGAAAATATCACAACGAAAGAAGACTGTCATTCTGACAAGGAATCTTTGGAATTTTTATTCCACTTCCTTGAATCTCATAAAGAATTAATTTCCAAGCCAGGCAGTAACCTTTGCGATAAGCACATCAAAACAATGACCTTATTTTTCTCTGAATGTGTCATAAAATGCCATGGGTATGAAATGAACTTGATGAGTAAAGCATTTTTGCTGTGGTTCTCACTAAGACACATTCCATTAATTTTTTTAAAGAGACCACATGGAATGAGCTTGGAAAGAAGGTTAAAATACCCATCAATAAATTTGACTACTCTCCCAAACCTGGTTGGTAGAGCTGGGTTATGTGGATGAAGTTTTGAAGAGTTTTATAATAATCATAAAACTCCATTTTTCCCCCGAATATTAACTAACGATCTGGCTAGTCTCTCTGAGCACGTTCTACTAGAAGGCATGTTTGTTCAGTTCTAGGTCATGTCGTTATAGTGTGTGATTAATTCCAGAGGTTCCAGAACATTAAGAAGGTACTGCATTGAGATATTCACGGAGTTTGAAAGAAAGAAGGAAATAATATTGTATATATTTTCAGAAAATTGAAATATTGGTTCTAAAAACCTTGTTTGAAGATATTCCCAAGTCGCTGATGTCATCCCAAAAGGGAAGGACTATTACAGGCACCAGCTTCTTGGATTGTTACAGATGGCTATGTAAATCAGTGTTGGTGTTTGAGAAGTGGCAACCCTGGAAGTTTGTTGTTGATCCATGTTGATCAGTGTGAAGGCTAGGATTGTATGAAAAAGACAAGCAGTAGCAGGCTCCTTCAAGGGAGGCGTGCCAGGATCTAGTCGGGTCAATTTTGGTCGTACTGCCAAAGCAGACGACTATTGTCACTTGGCGCTTACTAGTCTAGTCAGTCCCCCCACCCTGTAGACCCCTCATACTGAATGTCAAACCGTGCGTGTCTGTTCATTAATTTCAAACTCTGAAATGCTAAAGAACTAAATTTTGTGGGAGTCTGGGTCCTTACCGGAAACGGATTCCAGTCTCCCTATTCCTAATCCGCCAAAGGTGTATGGGGCTCAGTTGATCACGAGGTGCCATTCCGGGGCTTAACTTCGTGAGCAATACGCACGTCTGGTGGATTGGTGAAGCTGTGTGTTCACCATTTGATCAAGGCATCATGTTGCTGTGCATTGCATTAATTAGCTAACGTTACATTACGCTCCGTACAATCTTACACTAAATGTGCTATGTTTTTCTGTCGTTATCCTGATGCCTACTCAAGAGCGGAGCTGTCTCGGACACCAGATTGCACGGACTCGGTACGAGCAGGCTCTCAGGCTTCCCGGCGTACGAGAACCTCATTTAGCCGTAGTGTGGACCATTCTTGGATCAGTAAAGATTCTGTGCCAAACAGTGGACATTACTGGATATTCCATGAATGGTTCAACTCAGACGGCTCAGAAAAGTTTTATTGAGTCTATTGCAATAAGGTCTCTACAAGATAAGTTATATATATAATATATATATACATATATGTATATGATGTGATACTGGTAATATAGAAAACATTATAACTTGTGGAATAGAGAAGTATTAAATGTAACTTCCGAAAGCATGTTTTGCAGTTATTTACCTCTTCCTTTTGGTTGTGTACCATAATTGAGGCAAGTATATTCCATTTCTTTTCTATCTAAAATAGGAGTATTGTAATTCCTTGACACCACTAGTGATAAAAACATCCCAATGTGAAAGAAAAAAAGGTTTTAATAAACAAGGCTAAGAAAAGCTAAAGTCACCATTCAGGAAGAAAAATAACAGAAAACTGACTGAGTAATTAAGGAAACAAATGTGGTAATTTTCCATTTGGTGTTACAATTAGGTCAGAAACCTTTCTTTAATTTTTGTATTATTCCGAATTAATATAAAAAATTTGGAATTTAAAATAATAATCATAATATTATAAGATTACAACTTGAAACTAATACTGATTGTATTAGTTGCTAATGAATATCATATTATTAAAAGAAGTGATTAGGCATTTAATATAGTTAGGAAGTCTACATGTAAAATGACACTATGCATGTCAGAAGAAAAGATAGATACTTTCACTTTGTATTTAATAGTAATGACCTTAACAGTTTTAAGTACCAAGCCTCTCATCCTGTAATGCATTATGGTTTAATTTTGACTCATAAATGTGATTGTAAATAAAATTTATACTTCATATTACCAATATATATTTATTTAAAAGTAAATATATCAAAAATAAAAATATGAAAAAAAAAACCAACAACAAATATTATGGAAAGATGGTAAACAAACAACTATGGTAAAAAACTATAATTAGCTCATTAGGATATCTATATTCCCTATAATAAATGTTATAAAATGTATTAACACCTAAAAAATCATATTCTTCAACAATATTCAAAGGTATCATGGAACTGAAAAGACTAAAATTAAGAAGGAACAGACATAAACATACTACTGAATAATTACAAATAATAAAGAAAGAACATCTTGAAATTAATGCCCTCCTGGGATATGGTCTTCAAGATAATATATCAGTTGAGAATAATTTTTTAATGTGTGTATTTATTATCTCAAAACTGTAAAAATGTGACTTTTGGGAGAAAAGTAATGACTTGTCATAGAAAAAGCAGGGATGGAATCAGAAGAGAGGGAGCAAATGTAGTTCAGACTCCACATAAATATTTTTAAATATTTTTTTCATTGTTAGGTTGGATAAAAGAGGGGGAGGAGAAAGAACAAAAAGATTGAGTATACCATTAAATGGGGTGAACAGAAACAGGTCTACAAGTAAAAGTAAACATACATTAATAATTCCTGTTTAAGTAATTCTATTTCAAATTTTGAAGCATAACTGATTCTTAATGAAAGAAATGATTCGTCTTTAGAATGGTTAAATTGTTAATTTGAACTAATGATTTATTAACAATCAGGTGTCATTTACAGCTGATTTATGGGCTGCTGAAAACGGCGGCGGCGATGGTGTAACGGTTAGCGTACCGGACTGTTGTATCTAAAGTTCGCGATCAAAGCCGTGGATTTTTAAGGGCGAGAAAATCCTTCGGAGGGGAAGTAAAGCCGGCTTTCCTATGTTAGTAGATTTACTTGCATGCACAAGATCCTCAATCCTAAATGACGCCTCTGAGCTAAATTCAACTCGCCTGTTTCTCGCCCAATACCTTCTTTCTCTGCTGATGGCCCCCAGCCACGTAAAATAAGGCCAATTCAATTCAACATATGTTGGAATTATAGACGCGCGCATCTCAGTCTGTCGACACACAGATCTTCCCCTAATTGCAGACGGATTCTGGCGGATAACATCTTGTGACGCACAACACACTGTTAGCACGCACCACGTTCTCTTCGACGCCGGCCACGGTCACACTACAGCTCTAGACAAAGAGAACGCAGGAGCGTCAGTCGATTGCTCGGCATATCAATACCATATCAATAGGCACTCTCCTGATGGGATTGTATGTCGATAACCCCAACTCGCCTGTTACTCGCCCTAACACTTCCCCTCGAGACAATCTCCCACACTTCATGTGACATTCACTAGTAGCTCCACGCACTTCTCATGCTTCGACCTGGTCAAGGTCTTGGTGAAGATGTCGGCTGACATGTCTGTAGACGCTGAGTAGCCTTGACTCCGAGTAGCCGAACAAAGTAATGGCGAACATCTATGTGCTTTGTTCGAGAATGAAACCGAATGATAGAATTTGTCTCCAGTCTCTGACACTCCATACTCCTCAGACTCCTCACATACTCCCCTATCGTCTGGTCTTGGCGCCATCTCCCAGTTTTCTTCTCTAGTATGGACCACTATGACCGCTATGACCTCTAACTACTCCTGAGACCGAAACTTCGGTTAAGTTCGTGACGGGCCAAACGAGGACTTTCGAGTAGCCACCTGACCACGGTCTCTGATTCATCTGGCGTGAATCCGCCAAAATCTTGCCGTCTGACTGGCGCGAAACCGGAAAACCTAGCCGACTGACTCCCCTCCCCCTCCTCCCTTTCTCTGTTCCGACCCTGGCATTCAGGAGGATCCGGCCGAGGTTCAACTCCCTAGTTGAAAGTATGAAAGGTCTTGCATCGGCCTCCACCTCATTCCTTCCCAGCAGCTCTGTGACCTTTTCAGCATGGTTCTTCTCCACTCAGAAGTCTTCAGACTTGGCTGCGACACGAACTTGACCTCTCTGGACACTTCGACCTTCCCCTCACTTGGTATCCAGATTCTGAAGCCCTTTATCTCCGCAACTTAGCACACAAAGAAGCTCTTTCCAGAGCGCTATCTCTTCCGGGTGACCTGCCCATGATGAAGACTTCACAGCCAAATCGCTTGAATTCGGATACATCTGGTGCTCTTCCGAACCAGAGTTCATAGGGTGTCTTCTCGTTTAGTTTTCGTGAGGGGCATCGGTTGCAGATGAAATTTGCCGTGTTCACCGCCTCAGCCCAGAGAGAGGAAGGCAGCCCTGACTGGCTCAATAAACACCTTGCCGTGTCCATCAGCGTCCTATTCTCCCTTTCGGCTACACCGTTCTGCTCCGGATTGTACGGCAACGTTAACCTTCGTGAGATGCCGTGCCTCTGCAGTAATTCGTCGAACTCTCGTTTCTTGTACTCCAGTCCATTATCCGACTGGAGGCACTTAATTTTCTTCCCCTGCTGAATGTTCATGGCAGCCCTGAAGCTGTCAAATTCAATGACAGCTTCGCTTTCGCTCTTCAGGAATTTTACTTCACACCAGCGCGAAAGATCGTGAATGAGTGTGTAAAAGTATTTGTTCTTCCCGTACAATGTCACGCGCATTGGTTCACATAGGTCGAAATGAATCAAGCCACCCGCGACCGACGAACGTTTTGAATCCTTAGAGAGTGGAGTTCGGCTAATCTTACCCTGCAGACAAACTCTGCATCCATGGTTTATGTTGATCTTGGTTGATGTTGTTCAGGACGATAGTAGACGTAGATGTTCATTCTTCACAGGATCACGTAAATCCGTAATGTTCAGATGTCTGAGACGGATGTGCCAGTCTTCAAGGGGATTGCTTTCCGGTCCCTTCCGCACGACTTCGTCCTCGGCAATCTTTGCGCTCTCGCCGTTCTCGTGTGCACGGAAGAAGTAGAGGTCGTTCTCGCGCGTCGCGGTGAACGCCGCGAGGCGCCGGCCTTTCCGTCGTCGTCTAGAACCTTGTCAATTGTCTTCCTGAAAGGGACACTTTTCCCCTTGCCCGTAATTTTGTTCCCCGAAATTAAGTTCGTGCGCAGATCGGGCTCATGCAGTGGGTTGTGAAGGTTGATCACTTTCACGCTCCCACTCACATCTGCCCTCCTTGAAACAGAGCCCTTTCCCCTCGTTTCCGCGCACGCGTGGTTGGCTAGGTAAAATTTTCCAGGCCCTGTTGCACTGATAGCATCGAAAGAACGAATGTCCTTGCACAAGTGCGAGGTGCACCCACTATCGATGCACCATGCGTTCCGGCCCTCGTTGCCACCGGCACGGAAACACACCTCCAGTGTATTCCTTGATACATATAAAGTAGCGTCCCACTAGCCCCACTAGCGGTCTGCTGAATCTTCAGGTCTTGTACCATTCTAGCCAGTGGACAATTCCTTGATCTACGGCCGATTTCCGAGCACATATAGCACTTCATCCTGGAATCCCTTTCCGACTTCTCGCCATTCTTGCTATCCCTCGACCTGCCTCCCCCGAACTTCCCAGCGACCATCGCGCTTTGACTTGCACTTCTGCTGGCGTCCTTTCGCGAATCGAACTCTTCTCCGATTTTGATTCGCAGGACATCGGGCAAGTTATCGCGTATTGCGATCGCGCATCGAAAGTTGTCGAAACTGTCGGGCACACTTCGCAGCAGTATTAGTCAGCAAGATTGGGTTGATTTTCACTTCCACGTCCGACAGCTTGTCCACTACGTCGAAGATTTCACGAGCGAATTCTCTCGCATCTTTGCCATTTGCATTCTCAAAGAGATTAACTGATTAAAGAGCGGGCGTGGCCTTTTGAGTGATAGATTTCCTCTAACTTTCTCCACACTGCGCGCGACGTCTCGCATCCCTTAATCGGCTTTACCTCCGTCGGGCTTATGGTGAAGATGATGTCTGACCGTGCCTTCAAGTCGGCTTCCATCCACTGTTCGATGGTGCCACTATTGCTTCCCTTTCGTGCCATTCACGTAACCCCGGTCATCGTCCCTTGTATTGTGCGCAATCTGTATCTTCCAGGTGTCATAGTTTTCCTCATTCAGAGTTTCAAACCTTACGTTGGACGTATTCATTTTATCGGCGAACGTGTTTTAAAACAAAAGAAAAACGATAACCTGACATCGTGCACGTGCTCAAACTGTCCTCGTATCTATTGGTGTTACTCTGGGCCCATTAATCTGTTGGAATTATGGACAGCGCTCACCACAGTCGGTCGACACACAGATCTTCCCCTGATTACAGATGGATTCTGGCGGATTACAACTCGAATTGGATCTGCCACATCATAAAAGAACCTTTCATTGAAACAAAAAAAATCAATACGCCCTGATAAAATTTTGACATTCAATAGTGTAACGAAATGAGTGCGGGTTCACCCTCAAAACATTTATCCGGCTCTCTTTATAAAAATGTAAAGCTGATAAAGTGTTAGGACCTTACAAAATAAAAATATCCTCTATAAACGGGCCCTATTTTACCTGGACCCGCCAGCAATGCGTGCCCTGCGGGTCCGAAAGTTACGCCACTGTTGACATTAATGAATCGTATAAGAAATAAAATATGAAACTTTTAACTTTCTTTTTGTGTAAGAGGCAGGGTTATAATTAATTATAAAAACAAAAATATAAATTGATTTATGGAAAGTATCTACACTATTTTCAATTCATTCCAAATTCAAATACTTGTTGCAAAGGTGTGCATGGTGAGGTGCTGAGGTCTTTCGTTTCAAAAAATAAAACTAATGTTTTATAATTTTTCTGGGATGTTTATATTTTCACTTTTTCTTGAGCTTGGAATCCCTCCCCCTCCTTCACCAATGTACAGTAAAATGCCATTCATTTGGAATGTATATAAAGCTAATATCTGCACAATGTGAACATAAACCGTGGCCCTGGCTAACGTAAATTCTACAGTATTACGGAGGTCAATTCATAAATAATGCACAGTTTGGAAACACTGCTGGCTGAAGG